CCCAGAATATTTAGCACAGTGACAGCAGCATTATTGAAGACTACTTTCTGTTGTTATATCATACAGGATGAGAGAGTCCAGGCATATTTACCCTACCTATTTGGACAATTGCACATTAAGCACATTCAGTTTGAAATTATGACTCGAATGCAAAAATGTGCAGAGCTAAAAAATCCAGATCTTTAATCTAAAAACAGGAAATGGTCGTACACTTGGAGGCAGTCAGTGAGGGCAAAAAGAACAATCCAACTGATTCTGCAATCCAAAAGGCAGCAGCACATGTAAACCGCAGTAAAACTGTAGAATTTGTAATCTGTACTGTCACCGCTGTGCATTTGTGAATTACTACATAAGCCATACACAAAGCACCGACCAGGCTATATCTGTGAACGTCCTGCTGTGGCGTTTAAGCACATAAAAGAGGTATGGCATTGTACCTCAGATGTTACCAACCTTAAACCTTTATATTATCGGCTGAACGTCTCCACGCTGCCCGTTTCTGTGATTACTACCGCTCAAATGTGACGTTGCTCTTTTACTCTGACATCAGACTTTCGAGATGAAAGGAACACAGCATATCTCACAAAAAGGGTGTGAAACAGAGAGGACAGATGTACTGGATGCTACAATAAAGTACATCTTACTTTATATTTGTACAAGGAGTCCAAGTTGCATCAAACGCAGTAGAAAAACCTCAGTGGAAGGTACAGCCTGTTTTACACATTATAACTGAAGTTTAGTGACTTTCCAAGTATTTTTAGTCTGAACTAAATGGTTTCAACAGTGGATGTAACTTTGGGGACTTTAATAAACTTGAGGGATGCATTTACTATATGCTGGCATTTTGCTCATATGTGTGCTTGCATTATTTATGTGTGGCTTTGTTTTACCTTTTATTTTTCATGAGCAGGGTGGTAAGATCCCAATTCGATGGACAGCTCCTGAGGCCATCTCATACAGAAAATTCTCCTCGGCCAGTGATGCATGGAGCTACGGCATTGTCATGTGGGAAGTGATGTCTTATGGAGAACGACCATACTGGGAGATGTCCAATCAGGATGTGAGTATTCCTGTCATATGAGGAGAAAAACTATTAAAACTAGCAGGACTTCATGATAAAAAATATAGAGCTTGTCTTTTTAATATAATGTACTTCAAGATACATGATGTAAGATTTTCTGAAATTGGATTTTGATGCTGTGAAGCAAATAAATTGCACATTCAGTCTATTACTTCGGCATTTCATTATTTTATTTTAATTTCACTCTTTATCCTGTAAAATTAACTTTACATGTGTAAAAGATAAGCATATTTTACACGAGGTATACCAAGAGAACGTGTAACACCTATTCCAGCATGTGGTATTACAGGTCATGGTTACCTGAACTGGAATTGTAGCTGGAGGCTACTTGCAGAATAAAGATATCTCTACTCTTAAAAATTATATTTTGTGAGGAGTGGAGAGGCTAGACAGTTTTTAAGTAGGTGGTCAGGCCAAAACTGTTATTTTGGGGGTTGTTTCGTTTTGTAATGTTTGTTTCTGTATTTAATCAGTGTTTTCGAGATCGCTGTTGTTTGCTTTTGGAGCAGATGTCACTGTGTACACCATCAGGATTCATATAAAATAATCTTTTTTCATAGTTTTCAGTTAAATTAAAAATAACATTTGGAAATACTGCTTGATTTATTGATTTTAATTGTTGCTACATACAGTAGTAATTTGTTGACATAGCTCATAAGTTGGATGCACCATTAAAATGTGTCCATGTGGGACCAACAGCTACTGACTGAATGGATAACCTGACCTAACAGGTTTCATCATTTGTTGTGAGTGGCAAGAAGCCAAAAGTTGGTCTTGTTTTGTCTCCAACATGATTTTGCACAGCAATAGTAGCAACACACTGTGGTAGCAGCTAGAGGATACTTTGCTGCTATTTTCGTCTTTATGGCTGGTGGCAACCAGTGTTAACATGCAATACCACCACCTGTTTTATTGAAAAAACATCCAGGTAATTGCTTTCATTTTTAAATGTTCTCATCAATGCAGTATGTCAAGCATATAAAACACCTGTAGAGTGTGATTGCTGTGTACTATTTGCTTTTGAATCACTGTTTCCTTCATGTGTTCTGCTCAGAGTTATATTGATGAGACGTTTTTCTCTCACAAACCTCTCCTTTAACCTCAATCCACAATAATATTGACTTTTCAGATCCTCCGTTCCTGCTTCACTGTGTAAATTTTAAGTTTGTTTTCCATTATATCTCTTAAAGTCGATGCCCTTTCACCTGCTCTATGACTATTTGCTCACATCAAAAACCTACCTCTGAGAGAATCGAGGTTAGGAACAAAGATACTGGTGATATCCACCCAAAGGATAAAAAAGATGAGTAAGAGGGAATGGAAAGAGCAGTAAAGGTCAGAGGTTCAGAGGACTGCGGGCCAATCAAGGGAGAGTTTATAGCTGTGGATTCAGTGCAGCTGAGCAACCCGCTGATCCCTGGGCTGTGGTCAGGGATTGGAAGGACCTTGGTGGAAGCATATCCATCCCTCTCTCCGCTGAGTGTGAAAGCTTGACTGTAATCCCCTCAACCCTTTACAGACAGACTCACACACATACATACACAGACGACCCGGCACACACATTCACTAAGGTCCCCAGGTTTGGGGAGGATTTGTGCTGTTTGGGAATTGCTTAGAAGTGCTTTCTAAGTCAAAAGGCCAGCCAAGCCACAAAAATCTGCCAAAGACTGTCTCATCCTGGTCAGCCACTTACCACTGCTCGCTACAAAGATACTTGTAGATACGCCGCTTTCCTTGAGGGGATCTGAGGAGATAACGTATGGATGTTACGACACACTGTCAGCTGAACTCATGTTAATTTGAAGAACAAGTGAAAAGTGACTGATAATGTGGCATAAATACAATAATAACATAACAAAACTCTAAACCAGTATGTGAAAGGAAACAAAACAGAGATCACACTGAAGGTTTAGCCTAAATGTGGCCCAAATCTGCATGTTTTTTTTGTTTGTTTTATGTGCCGCATTTGGCTTTGACTGATGGTGTTGAAGGAGAATGAGTCTGGCTGCCTCTATTCTGCCACAGCTCCACCTTTTATGAGCCAGATGTCAGGTGTGTTCTGGCATTTGTGCCACCTCTAGCCACAAAACACTTGGCGTAATCCATGTCAAGCCAAGCTAATGACTTTTGTGCAACATCTGGCGCACACAGCATTTGCCAGTGCTCTAATTGAGCTGCTGTAAGTAGCCAAGAGGCCAAAACTGGTCTGCTATCTTGGAACGTTGTCATGTGTATAACTGATATAAATCACAAAGAAATCTCTAACTTTTAACCAGACTGGTTTAATGGCAGTCTTCAGCCAGATTTAGACCATTTACCACGTCCAACTCTTTCTCCAGGTGATTCTGTCCATCGAAGAGGGCTATCGGCTCCCTGCACCAATGGGCTGCCCAGTAGCCCTGCACCAGCTAATGCTGCACTGTTGGCAGAAGGAGAGGAATCATCGACCAAAGTTTACAGATATAGTTTCTTTCTTGGATAAACTAATCCGTAACCCAAGCAGCCTGCTGCCGCTGGTAGAGGACATTCAGAGGTACAGTACTGAAAAACTTTTTGTGCCATGAAATGAATTAAAGGAAATGCACTCTGGCTAAAAATGACCAGTGAACCAGTGAATGTGTTTTTCTGTGGGAGTATTCTTACTCCAGGACAGAGTATGAGTTATTTTCCTTGAACACTGACAAACGTTTTCACTCCTACACCTAAAATAAGTGACACACTAAGAACTTTTTGATGCTTTCACTAGTTTTTCAATTTTGAGATGACTGAATATGGACATACTATGACATTAACCTTTATTTCTTTTCTTTTTTCTTTTTGCATTAGTCTACCAGAATCTCCGGGGGAGGAAATGGACTACCCAATGTTCATCTCTGTCGGCGACTGGCTGGACTCCATCAAGATGAGTCAGTACAAGAGCAATTTCATGGCAGCAGGCTACAACACATTGGATTCAGTGGCGAGGATGAGTATTGAGTGAGTAGAACAGCTCAAATATAACCGTTTTTTTAAATGTCACGAAAGCATGTCAAGTTTGCATGTTACAAGAAGTGCAGTTCAGTCTGTGAAGCTGTTCTATAGCTCCCAGAGAAAACTTTGTATAGATAGGTAGAAATCACAAGGATAGGCAATGATGTAAAGTAAGATAATTCTATAGTAATGTAATGTTTTAATGTTACGCTACTTTTCACATTTATTTCACTATATTCTAGACAAATATTGCCTTTTTTT